AAACCGTGATGAGTAAGCACGCCATAAAAGCACAGACAATGGTTTAACCTTCCCATTGGACTGCATCCTTATCACTTTTTAAAGTGATATTTCCTTGAGGGTATCTTTGTGATGTTAAAAAGTGCTTCACTTTCCATCATTTGGAGGTTTATTGTGTCTCTTCTGCACAACCTCATCCTATTGGAGATGACAGAACTGTATGTAACATGTATTCCATAGGCTTGGAGAAATACATTCCTCTGGGCACTCAGTGTGCTTCCCATTGACAAATGCAGCACCTTAGAGAATGCTTACTTCCTCCCAATTAAACATGCAAATATTCAGCCTATGAACCCAGTCCTAAGCATACTTGTGAATGAAACCCAGGAGATCCAGATCCTAGAAGGCTGTATGCATTTCTCAAAGAAGCAATATCATAGATCTGTTGGAACAAATGAATATATGGCAGATTGAGATCTAACACTTGGAATGTGACACAAGCTATCCAGTATTGCAGTTTGTACTACCAGTGGCACTTGGCTCCAGACATGATCAGCTGCATCTACCCACAGTTGTTTCTCATTGGAAGAGACCCTAGTGTTAGGAAAGATTGAAGGCAAAACAAGAAGGGGATGGCAGAGGATAAGATGATTAGACAGTGTCATTGGTGCAATGAACATGAGTTTGGCCAAGTTCCAGGACACAGTCGAGGGCATGGGGACTTGGCATGCCGTGGTCCATGGAGTCTCAAAGCGTCAGACATAATGTGGTGGCATAACAACAAACCATAACAACAAATCAAGATCATGTGAAGTGTTAATGCCACTTTATAATGCCTTAGTAAGGCCAACTTGGAATACTAGTTTTGGTCACCATGATGTAAAAAAGATATTGAGACTCTAGAAAGAGTAAGGAGAAGAGCAACAAAAATGATTAGGGGACTGGAGGCTAAAACATATAAGGAACGGTTGCTGGAATTGGGTATGTCTAGTTTAATGAAGATATTCATTGGAGCTATTCTCCAAAGCACCTAAAGGCAAGGCAAGAAGCAATGGATGGAAACTAATCAAGGAGAGAAGCAACCTAGAACTAAGAAGAAATTTCCTGACAGTTAGAATAATTAGTCAGTGGAACAACTTGCCTCCAGAAGCTGTGAATGCTCCAACACTGGAAGTTTTTAAGAAGAGATTCGACAACCATTTGTCTGAAATGGTATAGGGCAAACATGTCAAACACAAGGCGGGGGGGGGGGAGCCAGATGCGGCCCTCGAAGTGGTTTCATGTGGCCCACGAAGCCATCCTGGAAACAGGGAGGGAACCCCCGCGCTGCCTTGGACCTGGCCCAGGCCGGCTGGGAGCCAATGTACAATTTTGTGGTGGCCATTTATGCTGAAACGCATTCAATCTTAGCTCCACAAGGCCGTCTGGAAACAGTGAGGAACTAGCCCCTGCTGTATCAGCCCCACCCCCTGGGTGCATGCCGGGGAGGTGTGTTGGAATTATTGATTATCTGGCCTGTTAGGCTGAGTCATCAGCTGCAGTAGGCCAAGGTATGAGGAAGTCAGAAGTAAAAAAGATTTTGTTGGTGCCGTGTGTAACAGCTGTATAGTAGCGTGTGCAAAACAAAGTTAGCACGTGTAATATGCTAATATGCTGTGTCATAACAAATGTGGTTGGTGTAAGGTGGTCACCAGGTGCCTATAAACCCGCCTTCTGATAACACAATAAAAGGGATGCTTCGTCTTTGTTCGAGGCTCCCATCCCGAGGAAACCACGTGTACGTGTCTGTTCTTCAACACCCATGGGAGACCGCTGGGCTCGAGAAAACCCACAAAGGTGTTACCCTTTGTGAGGAATGAAGAAATGGACCATGCCTTGGCACTTGCCCCGTCCCACCCCCTTCTGCCAGAGACCCTCAGATCTGTCTCACTCCTGCCCAGGCCCCCACAGGCACCCTTGATGCGAACAATGTAGAGTTGGCCATGCCCACCCAGTAGGCCACACCCCCCCAGGGCAACCGCATTGATACGGCCCTCAATGAAATTGAGTTTGACACCCCTGGTATAGGGTTTCCCCGCCTAAGCAGGTGGTTGGACTAGAAGACCTCCAAGGTTCCTTCCAACTCTGTTATTCTATTCTATTCATTGTCTTACTCTTCAATTTAATTCAATAATGAGACAAAGCCTGTCTTTCTAATCTGATGCTTCGTAGCAACAACCATATAAAGTCTCCAAGTGTGGAAATACTATTGTGACAATCCACTGCTTTCCACCCAAAGCTGCCACGGAGAAAGGAGAAAGGTTGATTACTCTTAAAGCACTACCAGCACTGATGGGTTTTCTGCTTTCTTTGGCCTAGGCTAACCATTGCAATGAATGTGACCTCGAAAGGGGAGAGGCATGCACAAAGATTTCTCTGTCTGGAGAGCTCCAAGAAAAGGTTCTTTCTGAAATAAAGTTTAAGGTTCTTCTTGGAACTGTAAACAGCCCAAATGCCCTTGTGATTTTTTTTTTATTTGAAAGTCCCAAGAGGTACATATCACATAACCTTGTATGGCTTTCAGCAACTGCTCCACTTTTATCTGATAGAAGACATCTACTTCCATTGTTCCCTTTTCAATGCTTTCCCTATTTCTCTAAGCTCCGTCTATCTATTCAGGCTGAGAAAACGTAAAAACTTGCTGCATGAAATCTGTAATCTCACTCCTTCACTGTCCCAGGCTGCAGCCCAATCTTTTCTCCTTAACAATACCAATCAGAGAAGAAACAAGAAGAAATAGATTACTGCTTCCCCTCTAATGCCAATTTTATCTTAGACATTGATCTCAAGCTATTAGCTTGTTAAATGTAAACTGGGATAGGCATTTAGTAACAGGAAGGTGGTTTATTATTTCCATATGAGAGTGTGTGTGTGTGTGTGTGTGTGTGTGTGTGTGTGTGTGTAAAATAAGACTTCCTCCCCGAAAGGTTTTTAATCTATTTAAAAAGCCAATAATAAAGTGTTGTAAATATGGGGCATAACATCATTATAATCTTCTTCCTTTTATTTTTAAAAGAGTTAAGGAACACCAGAGGGGGGTGGGGAGCTGGTTCCCACAAAGAAACGAGAAAGGGGGAAAAGAGAACACAATCGAGGCGTCACCTCCCAGGGGACTGCTCGGGGCTCCAACGGGAGTTTGAGGACACCATGTGACGAAGGAGACGTAGGAGAGCAGTAGCGTGGGGAAACGCTAGGTTTAAGGTGGTACACTCTGGGACCGTACCATTTCAGACTGCAGGTGAGGGGTTGTGTTTGAGAATGTCCTCTTCTCCCCGACACCTCTCTTTTCTATTGGTCCCCTCTGTTATCTAAAGCAGAGATTTGTGAAGCTTAACGTAATGCACCCCGGAAAGGGGACGATGTTGGGTGGAGCCATTTATTTTATTTTCTGGTTTTTAAATTTTGGGAACTTATTTAAGAGATGGTATTCCCTTCCCCACCTGGGAGCGGACTGGAGTAGTACAACCCGCCAGTCCACCGCCTTATTCTGGCTAGTGGGTCGAATTCATCAGGCGCCAGGTGATGGGTGCGCTGAGAGGAGGGGGAGAGAATCTGACCTTATTCTTTAGGTATCCTGACTAAGAAGAAGAGCAACAATCTCAAAATGCTTAAGGTGGCCTTATTTTTGCTCGGTGTCTGATGGTGTGTGCATACATTTTTCTGTGGAACACAAATGCTGGGTGCTTGCAAATGGTACTAGCGTTTTCCCCATCTTCTCGGTCTGTATGGATTTGCTCTCAGTGACCAAGAGTACAAATAAATTGGGGGCTGGTGGGGAGAAGATAAAATGAGATTTTGGAGGAATAGCGGGAGGCGGGGACTAAGGTCTTTTTTGTTTTATTTGGCATACACCAAACACTTTGGTAACCAAATCGTTGCTCTCTCTATATAATCAGGTAGATGGCATTTAGCGTTTATTTGGGTTGAAGGAGCGAGCTGTTCAGAATGACTCTATCGTTCCATTTCTTACCCTGCCTTGGAGGTTTTTCATGTCATCAGATCTATAAATGCCGCACAGAAAGTTGAGACCCCCCCATTCTGCCCCTTTAAGATTTAATGAGACACCGCAGTGCTAGGTCAAGACTACACCTTGCCTTTTGTTTTGGACATTGATAAAGTAAGGTGGCTGCAAACAACAAGAATATCTAAAATGCAGGTTTAGGAAGGTTGAATATAAAGAAGTCACTTAATTATATTGACAAGTTTCCCAAGAAATGGGCTTCATCTTTTCTTCTCCCAATAAAACCAGAAGGGAGCTTCTCTCCAACCCCCATGAATACATTGTCTACTTTTTAATTCCCCCCCCCCGCAAATCTGAACAAGCTGCTTGAGGAAAACCGCAATATAAATGGATTTTTTTTTAAAAAAACGAAACTGCAAACATAGAACATTTTTGAATGAAATCTCTCCCATATTCACTTGGGAGTTATCTCCCCTCAGTATTAATCATTTATCCACCACCACCCCTGCCCTCTCCAATCATGTTCGGGCAGAAAGCCTGTATTTTTCAAACCAATACCAAATGGGAAGCATGTTGCTTTGAAATTTGTACTTATTTCAGTCCTGTGCATCTGTGTAGAATCGACGTTTCAAATTAGCGCCCATGCAGCGCGATCTTTTACACGGCCTACGCAGAAGGAAGTCAGTTGGACTGACTCCTAGGTAGGTGTCTAGGATTGTTGCCTTGAAATAAGGATGCAGTCGTTGCAAGATTGGTAAGGAAGAACGGACTGGGGCTATCACAAACTAACCAATCCATTCACCGGGTTTTGTGCAGTCCATCTTCTCCAACGCCCGGCAGAAAGCCTTGGGTTTCCACCTGTGTGGTTTAATGCTGGATAAATCCATCGCGTTTTACGGGTCTCTATCAAGAGGAAAATCCCTTCGCTTTTTTTTTTAACGGTTTTCTAACAATAGGCATTTCATCCCTATTGTTTTGCCGCAACCAGTTGTGTCTGCAGCCCTAAAGAAAAAGCCACCACTAACTTCACGCATCTCGGGAGGGCCTCGGCTGTAAATGGGAAGCGTTGTAGGTCTGCTGGGTGTGCATGTGTAGGCGAAGGATCCCACAAATAAGTTGCGCTTTAGTTGGCCGGCGAGGTCTCCTCCGCTCATCAATAGACCAGCTCGCATTAGACTGACGGCAGCGAGCGAGAGGTGTGGCTCGCTTTTGACACCCCGCAACGCTTTCCCCTAGTTTTCTTATAACGCATGCACACTTTCCATCCAAAAAGACAACAGCCAGAAATCGAAGCTGAGATACTTCCGTCAAGAAGCTCACTCACACCTCAGCCCTGGCAAACTGAAGGATAGACCCCCCCCTAAGGCATCCCTCGATCCCTCCCTTCGATCCCTCTATTGGAGGGGAAAGTGCGGTGGGGGAGAGCGAGCGAGCGAGAGAAAGAGAAAGAGAGAGACAGAGATTTGTCATTTTCATTCATCAGTAGTTTCCAATCATGGTCGTGGCTCTGCCGTCTCCTTTTGCCGACAGGGCAATCTTAATACCCGATAGCTGACTGCGGACTGACACTTCCAGGTAGGACGCTGCCTTTCTATTCTGTGTTTTATTTTCTTTTTGACGGCTCGGAATATGGTACGATAATGATAAAACTGTAAACAAAAAAGAAAGAAAAAAGCTGGAAAGGGATTAAAAATTGGCATCAACTTAATGTGGAGGTGTAGTAACGGGGGGGAGGGGAGGGAGGGAGGGAGGGAGGGAAAAGAGGAGAGGAAGGCTCTCTCTCCTACTTGCTCCTGCCCCCTATTTTGTACAGCTCTCCGCTTGTTTATTTTAATTAGCACAGGAATCCTTTGCTAGAAACGAGGACCAACCTCCATCTCCCGGTTACATCACTGCTTCCTGCCCTCCCTTTCCCCTCCACGCCACCCCAAACCCGTCCCCTTTATTCCTCGCTAAGGAAGAAGCGGCGTGGGGGAGGCGGGGGGCGGGAGAGTTGGCAAAGCCAACATCTCTCAAGAATCGCTTCAAGTTTAAGTCTTTGCTGCCGTTCTTTAAACCTAGGAGGAAACCCTAACGAGCACAACACAATACAATCAATAACCCAGGCAGATATCTGTCCGAGAGGGTTAACGTGTAGAGTAGATCACGAAGCTGGGTTCATCTGAGTCTCCTTTATCGGATCCCCGACTACGGAACTTCAACAAGGTTACGATTAGGCACCGTCTGCCAAGGAAAGGGTTGTTGTTGTTGCCCCCCCCTTAGGGTTTGAAACACCATTTTTTCCCCCTGCGAGGGTTTGAGGATTTTGTTCTCCCCCTTCAGTTCCCCAGACAGGGCGCCTCGTTGGACTTGAGATCCGGCAGTAGTCAAGAGAGGAACAGATTTTCTTGGCTTGTTAGCCCGGCTGATCCGTTTTTGTTCCTCTTGAAGACTCCCTTGAGAGCGCTGCTCACGCTTTCCAGCTCTTTCCTTCCTCACCTTTCTCCTCAAGCCCTGTTCGCTTCTTTCCTTCCCACCTTTCTGCTTAAGCCCTGTTCTCTTCTTTCCTTCCCCACCTTTCTCCTCAGGCCTTTTTCTCTTGGCGGGTGGTGCGCTCGAGAGGCGCTCTGGACGCTGCGGGCTTTCGCCTCCGGTTGGCAACAGGCTTTCCTCAGCTCAGGCGCATCCCCGCTGCCAAGCGGCCGGGAGCGAGGGGGAAAGCGCTGGGGGGCAGGGAGACACAGACCCAGACTTGGACGGAGACCATCTTCCTTTCTCTTTCTGCGATTCTGACCTCCGCTCTATCCTGGGCATGCTCGCCTCCGCCAAAAGGGCGTTTTTTCTTCAAAGCTGCTGTGGGGAAACTAAGCGAAAGGGTGGGGCGGGTGGGAGATGGCGGGCTGAATCCCTCAGGATCCCTTTCTCAAGATTTCCTCGGAGGCGGGTGATGAAAGGGAGACTTGAGCCGCCGCCTGCTCCGCGTGTAAAGTGCATGTGTGAAAGTAACCGTGTTAGGTAAAATATTCCCGGCTTTCCACCGGTGTGAGGTAAAACATTCTCAAACCAGCTGTCTCCTTCAGGACTTCTGGAGCAAGGCGGGCTTAAAATAAGACGGGGCTCTTAAAATAGTTCTTGGTCAGTCAAACTAGGCCCGTTGGGAGGAAAACCGTCCCATTCCGGGGAGGGAAAATTCGGAATCGCTCGGAATCTCTTTTTCCTACCGACGACACCTGGGGTGGGTTGCCCGGTCGGCCACTTGGGACCTCAGTTAGGCGAGTGCCGGTGGCCAAAGGAGAAGCGGGGACTTCTCAGGGCCGTCTCTAGGGGCCTTAAAGCGGGCTCCCTTCGAGTGAATGGAAAGGTCGAGAAAGCCTGTAAGTTGTGAAGGCTAGAGCAGGGGAGAAAGAAAGCTTGAATTTGACCCCTGCGAGAACAACTAGGAAAGAACCGCTGCGATACAGCTGAGTTCGCTGCGCACCATTGCCTGCCCGGCTGGGGTTCGCCCGCCTGATTTTCTCATTGTCCCCACTTGGGGCCCCTTTCAATAAAGAGAGAAGGGCCGAGGCCAGGGCGTTCGCTTTCCCATCGCCTCCGATGCGATGGGCGAAAGAAAGACTTGGGCCGGATCCTGCCCCGCGTGCAAAGAACATGAGTAAGAGAGGAACCGTGTGAGGTAAACCGTGTGAGGTAAAATATTCTCGCCTTTCCTCTACTTCTACTTCTTATCTTTTTTTGGGGGGGGCGGCTCTTAATCCGCTCGCGAATATTTATTTCCTAGAGCAAAATCGAGCTGCTCGATCAACCCCTTTGTCTTCCCGATAATCTTCCCGATGCGTGTGCCTGCCTGCCTGTCTGTCCACTCCGAGCAAGTTTCTTGCTTCTGCCAAAAGCGCGGCTTCTTTCCCGGCTTGCTGCCAAGTGTTTTGTTCCGACGCTCGCTGTGAGGCTCACCGTCCAGGGCCCCCGAGCTGTCATCCGTCCAGGGATTTGCCCCTTGGCAAGCTGTTGCGACTTCCTCGCCCTGCCTGGAAAGACATATTCTCTTCTCCCCACCCCCGCCTTTATGTAAAGCCTCTTTTCTGCCGAGCTCAACGCTAGCGACTTCGCAGAGACCTCCTCCGCGCTGTGTTCTTGGGCAAGGCGATTCTTTCAAGCTCTTCTCCAACTCGCCGGTTCCTCCTACAACGCTGAGATTTCCGAGTGGTCTCTGATCCCAGAAACTGACCAGTCTGCTAACTTCGAAGCCCAACAGGGGCAGCTGGGTGCTACCTAACCAGCTGAGATGCCTGTTGTGCTGTAACTGCCCCACTGGGACGTTTAAAAGACCCTGGGTCACCCTCTGCTCACTTTCGCCATTTTAATATAGCCTCTTTGTAGAACCCTTGATTCGGACCTCCTAACGCTATCCCCCCCCCCCAAAAAAAAAGTCTCGATCCCTGCCCATCTGGGACTAATGCAACCATGGGCCCCAGGTATGTATGGAGACCAGGGAAGCCGGGTTTCCTGCTGTAAGAGACTTGTCCTTTTTGCATTCACCTGCCTTTTGCCTCTTTGCACCCCACCGAAGGGGAAGAGAAAGCCGTTCTCGTCGGAAGCCCCGTCTTTGGCCTCCCTTTCAAGCAACCCTCTTCTGTTTCTTGCCTTCACACACACCCAACCCCCACCCAAGGGCTATTTTGGCCGCTTTTCTTCAGAGGCGGCTCCTTTGCCTCGTTCTTCCCCTCCTCCTCCTTCTTCCCAAGGGGAGAAAAAGAGCTATGGAAAGGGAAGGAGATGAGAGGAAGAAAGGATTTAGAGAAAAGGCAAGGTGACCAATGGAGAGCTGCCTTTAGCTACCAACAAAGGCAGGTTGGAAACTCCGCACCTGAAGCGGGAAAGTTTTGGAGTCGCAGGGGGGTCTACAAGCCAACCCCCAAGCCGCTTTACCTGCGGGCAAGCGTTACTAATGGTCCCTTCCCAACCGGCTCCTTGGAGTCAGACAGCCCTCTGCTCTCTCCCGCGGAAGTTCTGTGCGGGCCAGGCTTCCCGGGGAACCGCTCGCACCCAACACGTCCAACGTGGAAGAGGAGCTCTGAAAGCATGCGGAATCGCAATGATCAGGCACCTTCCGCCTTGCCCTGATGTTCACAACGGCCCTGCCAGGGAGGCTGAATATATACCAGACGCCCCAGAAGAAAATTGTTGTGTATTAGCAAAACCCGAGTCATAATTATTCAATACAGCGAAATATGTGTATTCAGTTCAATGTGAATAATAGCATTAAGGGAGAAGTCTATCTTGCTTTAAATGGGGAAAAACGAGAGTTGAGTGCTTTTGTTCCCCATTCTCGGGCAAGATTTACAGAATAATCCAGACAAAGGGATCCCATAATTCCCTTTAAAAACAGACGGTATTTCTTGAAAGGTCTTCCTTCTGCTCTTACCATTCTATTCGTTTTACTTTAACATATTTCTTCTTTTTCATAGGTGGGAAGGGAAAAGGGAAGGGAAAAGACAAGCAAAGAGGGAAACAAGAAAGAGATATTCCATGTTCCCAATGTGTTCTTGGTGGTGGGGGTGAGAGGTGGGGAACAAGGCATGGAGAGGAGTGGTGTAGCTTGGCCCATTAGACCGATTTAGAGTCTGGGTATTCACGAACTTTGAAAGGCCTATTTTCAGGGATATGATCCACAGTCACACAAAATGCTTAGTCAGTCCGGTCAAAGACTCAGTTGCTATTCTTGCCTGAGTCATGCTTAGCCGGTGTTGGTGAACTGAGCTCCCTTGATCTGTGCATGGTTCAATATAGCCAGTACAGCTCATTGTACAGCTGGGTAACCCTTTATCCTTAAATCAGGTAAGCATGTTGTACCACATATGTTTCTTGCTTGCACAACATGCTTATCAAGTAAGCCCTTCATTGAATGCCCTTCATTTTCTCCCATTTCTCCCAGTCTGTTTCATTAGGGACCCTCTTATTGCTTTCCCTGCAAAGGGGGGGGGGGCTCACAGTTTTGTCCTAAGGTCTTGCTGCCAAGTTTGGATAACTGACAACTGGTATTGATGGGGAACCATCTCCCATGACTGGCATTTAATTGGCTATACCAAAGGCAAATAGGCTCTGACCATCAATGATCTCAGTGTGGGGGCCTTTTGGCCTTTGTATGAACAGCTAGTGAGGCCTTTCCTCTGATCCTGCACATTCCTTTTTTGTGGGTTTTGTGGCCATCTCCTTTCCTGAATACTTGCCTTGCAGGCAGAGACAGCAGGAGTTGAAAACGACGGATTCCTCATGAAGAGAGGTTCCCATTGGGCTAAATCTTCCCAAGGGAAGGGAGAGGGGGAAAAAAACCCTATAGAAAAAAAGATTAACTGAGAATTGAGTAACACAAGGGCAGACAATTAGTTTAGCCCGGTTTCTGGCTGCCCTTCATTCACATCAGCACTTTTGCTAGTCAGGACCCACTGTTCAAATGGGATGGCTGGTTTCACTTGGGGATGGGACTACTTTCTTGTAGAGGAACATTACTCATGAAAAAAAACAAAAAACCCTGTGTAGCACAGATCCAGTTAAGAAAGTGGTCAGTCAGGACAGCCCTTGTATGCCCCTTACAATTAATATTGGTAGAAAATCTTTTGGTGGAATAAAATAGTGATTAAAAATTAGTAAACTGACTGAGCCATTAATTCCACATCAAAACAAATTTCCTACAATACTGTAAGTTTGATTTTACTTTTTATTCTTATGCAAGGAGGGGGGTGTGTCTAAATAATAGAAATAAAAGATGTGGCTTGCCCAACTCTTAAATTTTGCTTGGCCTAGCTTTATACTTCAGCTCAAAAAAGAAAAGTCTTTAATTTCTCTTGCATAAGATCTTTATGTTCTGTCCAAACTCTAACCTGGCTTTCCCAGCCTGGAGTCCTCCAGCTGGTTTACCTACTATTCCATCACCACTGATCCAGTAGCCACTGACCAGTAGCTCAGAAAAATTGGAGGGCAGGAGGTGACAGAAAGCTGCCAGTTTCTCTTTCCCTGTCCCTGCCCTTTATTCTACTGAGTCTTAGCTGCAAGGTGTTGACCCAACTCTTCTCCAAGACCACTCAAAAATAAGCGGATTTAATGCACTAACACTTACTTGCATGTACAGAATTGGGCATACCTAATTGTAGATCACTTCGCCCAATTATGTGGGGATGGAAGTCATAAAAATAAGTTGGGCTTACTCCTGAGCAGTCAAGTACAGAACTGCACTCTAAGACAAGATTGCACCTACCAGCACGTTCACCATACTTACATTGAACCCTATTAATTCTCATTAACTACATTGGACTTAATAATTAGCATGGACTAAAATTAAACTCAATTCATTTCTGAGCAGGTATGCCCACGTTGACCAGATACGGTCACTTTAGTAAGCACATTTATTTGGACAAAATTAGAGTCCATTACTGTGTAGACCTGCCAGGGTAAGACTTTGGGGCAGAAGTCCAGGATCCCGCTGAGCAAAGTGAACAAGAAGGGGCCAAAATAGAGCAGCCCTGGCTTGTTGCACATTGAAAACAATTAAGTAATTTCATGCAAGCCAAGCACATTTTTAGCTCAGCCTGTTTATGATTCAGAGTACACAGAGAAGCCTGAACATTGAATTAATTCAGTCACCCATGGTAAAGCTAACTAGGGGTAAGCAAGCCCTACAAATGCAACCTCTGACATTTAATTGGGAGTGGGTGGGAGTTAAGATAATTAAGCCCAGTTACCCAACTTTCCTGCAGTGGTGCTCTGCTGGATGACAATTGCTGCTCTATTCAAATAAATGGAAATTCTGTTTTGGAGTTCAAGAGAGCAGAGTCCTGTCCCTTTCACAATTTCATTCTTACAGCTCACTCCTTCTTGACCATTCATTTTTGGGGCATATAGATGTAGATGGTGAATAAAAGATCAGACCTGTATTCTTAACTTTTCCCACAGTACTTCCTAGAATATTTGTTTGAGATTCCTTTTTTCAACTTAACATTTATCTCTTGATTGCATGAAGTCACTCAAGTTTTCTCTGAGACTTTTGGTGACCTCATGGACATACAGTTTTTAAAGGAACAATAAGGAAGTTATTTGCTACTGTCTCCCTCTGGGATGCTTTTTCAACTTCTCAGACTAATCTGACTTAACATCAGCAGAGAATCCCGCTGTCCTGGGCTTTCGAGTTCCAAAAAGAAAGAAAAAGGAAGTGACACAAGTACGTGCACACATGCAGGCTTATTTCATTTGTTTGGATTTCTCTGCTCTGTGGAACTGCCTTGTAGTTTTTTCAGGTTCTCCTTGAATGAAGAGAGATTTACTCAGTCTCAAAGAACACCTTCCCTGTCTCTCTATTGCTCTTGAATTTGGATGTGTGGTGGTCAGGTACATGAAGGGGTTTCTTTTCCTTCATCCCTAATTCAAAAGTAATGTTTTTTTTAAAAAAAAAAGCAATGAAAGGAAAGTTCCACCTCCTATCCCTGGGCAGAGAAAATAGCCAAGAAAAAATGCAGGCAGCCAATGGTGTGGTGGGGATGGTGATTTCCAAAATCTGGATTCCATCCAAGAGGACAGTGGGTTGGCCCAAGCTTCAAAGGAAAACAGAAGGGGCAGAGAATTTTTTTTTTCCCTCTCCAAGCCTGCCTGGAGATCAGCACTTTGTGATTCTCAAGTTTAGTATCAGAATCATCCAATAACGGGGGATCTCAACTGCAAGAGATCACGTGTTGAAGCAAGCACTTCCTATTAAATCCCCGCCTATCTTTGTGGACACCCCAAACTTGATATCCTTCAATCTTTCACCAAGATATTCTTCAATCTTTCACCAATCTTTTCACCAAGAGAGCACCAACTCTCTATCTTTCTTAGCTCTCAGTTAACTTTCTTCAGTTAGTTCCCTCTCCCATCCTCCTAGCATCTTCAATTATTATATCTCTTTGCTAGGTTCCTTTTGGAGCTGGGTGAAATCAATACATTTAAACAGGGAGATTTTAGAGAAGATTTCTCCCCAGAAGAAAAGAGAAAGACCACCCTAGTTCATTGGCAAAGGGAAAATGACAGGAATTGGTGTTTTCTCTGATTCCTTGCTTCTTAGGTGGAATTCTTTGCCATAAAGCTCTTCAGGGATATTAGAACTAGGAAAAGAGTTGATTGATACTTTAAAATAAAATATTAATATGAAACAGCACTCACTTTTTCTGAAAAGTAAACTTTACTGAGTTCCTTCAGCAAGTCTAGAATTAAAACCTTTGCCTATGTATCTAAGTCTTCTGCTTCAATGTCAGGAAGGCATTTCATGCCTTACAGTCTCTGACAAAGTCAGTCTGGTCTAAATTTTTCCTGACCTTCTCTTCAGGTCTGTCCATCTGCCCGTCCCTTTCTCCTCTCCTTCGGCTTTCCAACAACTTTCATTCAAAGATCTGCCCTCCCTATTTTTCTCCCCCACCCTTTTTCATTGTTAAAAATTATTTGAACTTGAGGTCTGTATACCAGAGGGTGGTGGAGAGAAGCTGAAGAAGCTGGGTGGATGGGGCACAGGAGTACAGTCTGGACCTCCCCCGCCCGCCCCCCACGCATCCACTCTTCTGAAAGATCCCGGGGAGGTGCCTCTTATCTCCCCTCCCTATCCTGGATAGAAAGAAGGGGTCCAAACCCCTCTCCCACTCACTCCTCCGGAATATTTGTCACTGCTCGCCCATCACAGTGGGGGCTGGCGAAGTTTGACAGCTCTTTGTTGTCTGTAGAGCAGGAGGAGGAGCAGGGGGCTGGTGGCAGTTCTTGGGTGAGGGCTCCTCCTCCTGAATTATCCAAACTGGGTTGGCTTCTGTCTCCCAACAAATTGGACAGAGCTCCAGCAAGCAGCAGTCCCACATCCATGCGAGAGCAACAGGAACTTTTCAGCAAACGGAGATCTCTGCTTTAACTTGCCAACCCCCCCCCCCCTCATTTTCCCTATTCCGCTCATTTTCCCTGTCTTGTTTGGCTTTCCTTTGTCTTTTAACCTCTCCCCCACACCCCATCCTCCCTTTTTCTTTTGGCCGAACCATTTTTTGGTTATTGTTGTTGTCCCTGTCTGTCCAAGCCTCAACTTCGTGTCTGCGTTCTCTTTCTTTCTCTCCCCCCTCCCCGTTTCCCCTTCTTCCCCCTCCCCTCTGGGTCCACCCCGTTCCTTTTCTGCCCTTTCTTCAGGAAGGAGCCCGGTCTTTTGCACCGGCCAGGCGGGGGAAAGACCCCCCCCCCCAAGACCATTCCCGCCAGCCGCCGCTCGGCAGCCTTACCCAATCTTCGGCTGCTACCTGCCTTCCCTCCGGAGCCACGAAGCTTCTTCTGAGGGCTCGTCCCGTCGCCCGGCGATTCGGATGCTCTAAACCAAGACTCTGGGGCCTGTATATGGAAATAGTGGGGTGCCGAGCCGAAGGAAACGCGTGTCCCTTCCGTTCCCCAGCCATGCTTTTCCACGGCATCTCCGGAGGCCACATCCAGGGCATCATGGAGGAGATGGAGAGGCGGACCAAGACCGAATCCCGCCTGGCTAAAGCGGGACAGATGAATGGCCGGGAAACGGTAAGGAGTGGCGGAAAAAGTCGGGAGTTTTCACAGAAGAGATGAAGGAAGGGTGGATTGTGTGTGTGTGTGTGTGTGTGAGAGAGAGAGAGAGAGAGAGAGAGAGAGAGACCCCCTCCCAATCCTAGAAGTAAGGTAACAGGAACCGCCCAGGGACCCTGGAATGCCTTGTGTGAGTTGTGTGTGTGTGTGCGCGCGCGCGCGCGTATCTGAGAACGCCCAGAGAAACGTTCTTCAAGTCTCACTTCCAGATATCTTTTTCAAAAGAGTAGTTTCCACCTGTCTGTTTAAAAGGAGACTAGCCAGTTCCCCCCCCCCTTTATTATTATTTCTCTACATCTGGGTTATTTATTTTTTTAAAAAACGACAACAAACAAGCTCAGAGATAAGGCATTACAGCGCGATCATAAAGATATTTTATTCAGGAGTAAATTCTGTTGAATTTTTAAGGGTCAGGCTTTCAAGAACCCCATCTATTTTGTAAAAGAGTGGTTGTTTGTGTGGACGCGCGCAGGCGGGTGAACAGGACCCAGCGCAGGACTTCCATAAACATTCTCCAAGGAAAGGGGGGCGTTGCTCCTGAATAAAACTGATTAGAGTCGATTTGCCACAGTTGTTCCCCCGATCGCCCGTCTAGTTTTCTCCCGCTAACTTTGCTCTTCAAAAGTGTTTAAGGTTTTTGGATTCCACCCTTACTGCTTGAATATCAAGCCTTGGTTCCTTCATAAGCCCGGCCCCTATCACGATTGGGAAGCGAATTCAAGAAAGTTCGCCTAGTAGAAAATGTAAGCTGCGACTTGCCATCTTGAAAACGAGGCGTTTGAAACTGTCGCTTTCAAGGCAGTTTCACGAAATGAGAAATAAACCTCGCGAGGCTCAATGTCATTTTCTGCTGAGTAAGTTTGGAAGGAAGGCTTTTTTAAAATGAGAGCCTGTAAGAAGAAAGGGCCAAGGAGCAAGAGAGTCTAAACCCAACAGGCTTCAGAAATAAAATTGTTTAGAAGATTTAAGGGCTACCAAATTTACTTCCAAATAAGTTCAATACCTTTTGGAACGACTCCGGCGTCTTTTATATTCCAAATCATTTGTGAAAAATAAGTGCAACAGGAGAGTATTATGCATTTTGGTGGCTTTCAAACGGATTAATTTTAGTTACATTACTCGAATGCTGCTGGAGATTCGTTCTAACTTCTTGTATTGGAAAGAAACAAACGTTTATTTCTCTAGCTCCAACTTGTAAAAGTAGCACTGAGGCTGAGCCAAAATCGATAAAACGGAACAAACAATCTCCCTCCCACTCCACCCTCAGATTTATTCTCTTCAAATGCCTAATAATTGGAGTCGTTCTGAGCGTTAAGCAGAAAAACAGAAGTTTCTTAATAGATTCCAAAACTCTAAAATTTAAAGTGGAGGAACTCCAGCGGCAGGAAAAGGGACTTGTGTGTGTGTGTGTGATGGGTAAATAAGGACATTTATTTCCTTTGCTCCGAAATCTCAGGATCTCCAGTGCATTCATGAAGAATATAAGTAAGGGGTCTACCAAAAGTTATTATTCTTTGAACTGGACTCTCCTCCATGCACAGCAAAGACCAAATTCATTAAGGCAACGGTTTCATAATCATTTCAGTTTCTTTATGCTTTATGGAGTGAGAGGAAGAGAAAAATCATTAAGAAGACAAGCAGAGGGGGAAAACAAAACAAACCCAAACCCAATGGTTTCATTTAAGCCACCATTCCTTGGGTTTGGTAGGTTCAACCCTCTCTATATTTAATTTTGGGAAATTTTTAGTTATTTCCCAAGTGGTCTAAATTTTCCTCTTTCCTCTCTTAAATTCAAAGATAATCTGGAGAAGAATTTTTCAAAATAATGATTAATTCCCGACTCCAATATAAAAGACTTACAACCTGTTTTAACAGGCCACGTGCTTGATTTAAACGCTCTTTCTACCCGTTCACCACCTTAGTGGACGTTCGCAAAATCCAGGTAGGAAGGACATTATACATAGCATATATTCCTTCCCCCCTTAAGTAAACTGCATCCTGAAGGGAGGAAAAAAAATGAAACGACGTTTCCTTCTTACGTTCCTTATCCTCAATAGTCTCCCCCCCCCTTTCCAAAATGTGTTCTGGAGTTGAGTCCAGGTCAGGAGAATGAAAGTGAATGGCTCGGAAAGTAGACCCCCACCCCCACCCTCCCAAGCACACTGCTTCAAGCTCACGGCCCGATCTGTGCCGGGGTTGTTTTCTCGAATATAAATCCCCAATCAAGAGGGGCGCGTTTTGAAGAGGAATCAGCCAGAACTCGGCCTCTTGAGTTTCCAGGAAGCTGTAGCAGCGGAGCCTTCTCGCTCTGGCTAGATTTTCTGCCTTGCTCTCAGGGCTCATCCCTCGGCTGCACGAAGGCCGAAAAGGCGATTCTGGTTCGGGACGAAGGAACCAAGAGTTATATCTTCTCTGCGCAGAATGTAAACCCTACCACTGAAACTCAGTCTTGGGAAAAAGGTTAGGATTCAGACCACCGCCACTCTTTCGGCAACCCAGTATCTTCCGCGTCAAAACACCGGCTTCTCGCAAAAGCGGCAACGTGCGGAGTGAAAGGCAAGTGAAGGAGCAAGTGGGAGGTTGCCAGTTCCTGCTTGAGGCAGAGTTTCTGCAATCAAAACTTCTCTCTGGGAAGCCAACATAAGCCAGAATATTGACTTCACCCATCGCTTCTTCTAGGCGGTCCTCTGTTTCTTGAGGACCTAGCAGCCTTGTGTGAACCCAGCCACCGAGTTCTGCCAACGGAGGGCGAAAAGATGAGTCAGCCCAAACAATTGTGGTGTATTCGGTAAATCCAGCCGGTGGAGGGAATCCGGATTTATTGTGCAGTAAAAAAAAAAAAAATCTTATATCTAACTGTTTTGAAGTACATATACTAGACTTCAGCAGGATTTACTCGCAGGTAATTTTTAATCAGGTGCATGGAACGAAGCTAATGCCCATTAAAATCCACGAGAAGGAAATAATTCCTATTCTTCTTAGGTCTCCACAGAAACGAAGCGGAACTAAAATACTACACAGACCCTGAGAATCCAGCAGGTTTGTGTGGAGTAGGTTTGTGTAGAATCGCACTGTAAACTTACAGCTAAGGCCCGTTACATATGCCTTCTGATTTTGGTTGGAAATATCTCTGCTATTGATTTTTTTTAAAAAGCTGAAAAAGTACACCTAATTAGATGTTGAGCTTGTAAGATTTTGCCCGACCCGCTGACGTTTGCTTCCCTCTGCAGAACATGCCTCCGCTGAGCCCCGAGAAGCCTGCCCTGTGCGCAGGATGCGGGGGCAAAATCTCCGACCGCTACTACTTGTTGGCTGTGGACAAGCAGTGGCACCTCCGCTGCCTGAAGTGCTGTGAATGTAAACTGGCTTTGGAGTCAGAACTCACCTGCTTTGCCAAGGACGGCAGCATTTACTGCAAGGAGGATTATTACAGGTAACAGCTTGCAGGTTGGGGTGGGATGAATAGGATGAATAAGAAGGGGTAGTTGAGATACATGAATGTTTGAACTATCCTGAGAAAAATCATCTCTTAGAGAGCGAGCATTCATACATATTTGCAGGACCCATGTTACTTTCCCTCTCTGGATTACTTGAGGTTAAGTTTATGCAGGCATGAATGTCCTTGGCACTTAACTAGATGCACTGCCCCTTTTGGGGGTGGTAGATTAAATCTTATAAAGGAATATAGGATTTTATTTCCAACAGAAATTAGAGAAGTGACATCCAGCAGTGAACGGACCTTCGCAAATGCAAATACGTGGGAAACTAAGTCATTGATTTAATTGTTTTGTTGGAAATTATGGAAAGGCAATTCACATGGGTGCTCGCCCCCTCCCCCCAATTCTTCCTGACCAAATGTACCATAGGATAGGACAGGACATGATAGGATACCATAGGATAGAATAGACAGACAGACCGACAGACATATTGGAAGAAAGGGAGGAGTGTCATCACATCAAGTGTTTAAAATCCTATCTCAGATACTAAATCTGTTCTTCCCATCATTTCTCACCCTGTCCTTCCGGAGAAGTCTTGATTACAGTGTTTGGCTTGTGGAAGACCATTTGAACATGTGCACATTGCCCCTTGAATTGGATGCATGTGAAAAGGCCCACAGAAGCACAGGTGGAAAAATCCAGGGCAGAGATCCCTACTGGGCTGCAGGGATGCAAACATTTTACTTACTACTGGGAAATAACTGACAAGCAAGAGCTTCTCTCCTCCACTGAGCTTTACAAAATGCCTTCTTCCTATAGGAAGAGCCGGTTGTTTAGAACAGTGACAGGGCAAAAGTCAAGTGACCAGGAAAGCCGCTTGCCAAATGCTCTCTCCAAGAATCAGTGCAACATCTCTGCAACACTAGTGACCTCTTACTTGCATTGCACCTGTGAACTCTTACAGATTGTGTGTTCATGCAGTTTGCTTAATCGGGTCAGGAATGCATGAGCAGAGGGATTCGCACAACCTGTTAAACTGGATTAGTGTTAATATTAGTAAAGGCTGAGTGAATAGCACACACAAGTGCAGGCCATTTAAATAGGTTATGTTTCAACATACTTTGCCTATTCAGAAAAAGAGTTAACTAAGTAGCCAGGTTAAGAGTCTTTTCCTACCATATCCTCTGCAGCAACTCTCCGCAGTGGGCCCCTGCTGTGTTTTTTCCTGTGTTATGGTTGGGGTGCTGTTGATCTACCCATTCCTTAACTAGGGCTTGGAAGGAAAGAAGGAAAGGCTTGGCACAGAAGTTCTCCCGCTGGGCAGTCTGCTCTACTTTGCTTGTTAATGAGAAACTGCCCTTTGACTACCCTGGCTATAGCCCGCCTCTGTTAAAGAGATATATTCAGATTTTTATCAGCCTCCCTTCCCAATGTGCTGAATAAATATTTCTCATTTTTATTGTTATGTTCCAGCAGAGCCTCAAGCATCCTTGGAACCATTTCCTATTGATTTCACAAAAACTTCTAAGGTGTCCACAAAATTGCCCATGCTTCTTCTTTATTCAGCACTAAATCCCTTTGAACTCAGTGAAATCTATTTCCAAGTAAGGATGGGTTAGAGCTGCCAATTTTACCTTAAAGTAAGAAAGGAGCCAAGGTATGCTTCATGTTTTAGCTTTATTTTTGATACTTTCAAAAACATACATTCTTAAACTTAGAATTAACCTTAAGCTTTATTTCCAGTGTTAGCTTTTCTCAAACAACCAGAGTGACTTTGAATTACTGGGCTTTTCAATTTCACAGGATTCTTACTAAAGACCTGTGCCAGTGTAAAATGTGCTATTGTTGGTTATTACACACACACATACACACACCCCAATGCTATTCCACACAGATCTTTTTCAAAGATGACCCATTCATTGAATGGAGCTCCTCTGCAAACGGATAGAAGATTCCCAACATTTATCTGGAGCCAGAGTGGTAGAGCCTGCTTAGGATCCATATTTCATACCCCCAGGCCAAACGCCTTGTTGTGGTAATAAATCCCACGCTCAGGGAAGAAGCAAACCTGGCTCCTGGCACACGCAGCCCCCTTTTGCCCAGAGGGGACCAACGCTAAGCTGGTGGGTAGAGAGGCCCACTTTCTTTGCTGTTCTTTGATTTTACACTGCAGGAAAGGAGCTTTGCATCTCTCTCTCTCTCTCTCTGGTGAATGCTCTCTCCACCTGAGAAACCCCAAAGGAACTTAGTTATATTGAGTCAGAAAGAGCACATGCATCCCCAGCACACACAGCATATGCTGCAGAACCAGGACTGCAGCTAATAGGGATATTTTGGGTGGTCACTCTGGGAGTGGAGAGCAGAATGTGGGACTGAGCTTCCTCATATGCTTGAATCTCTGCCCTCCTCCTTCATTTATCCCAGGATATCACTTTGGGGAGCCCAGGTGGCATTTCTGAGCACTGCCTCCCATTATAAAACCACCCAGCATCACTGCAAACTTGAGTAGATTGATTTAATAGCTCAGTGGGTCCAGTTACTAGATGTGCTAATTTTTCCAGGCAAAGGTGACCAAAAGATGACATTCCCCCGCAGGGCAGAACATTTTTTTGGGGGGTGGACAAAGGAAACTATGCCTGGTGGGCATAACCTAAAAAGACAAGATCATAATTTCATCCCAGACAGTAAAATGCTAATTTGTTTTTAATTTCTGGAGTGGTTCAGCCTTAAAAATTGTGCAGTTAATCCACTGATTTCCTTAATAAAATGTCATTGCTTCACAAAATACACTACACAAACTTCACTACCCAAAAAGCAGTTTGTTTAGGGGTGGAGGTTGCCATCTTACATTATATTTTTTTAGAGGATGGAAAAAGCACCTACTTATAATATGACAATACAGCAGGGAATTATCCTTAATTGTAATAGTACAATCTTAATCCTTGTAAATTCAAATGTAGCCCCACTGAGTTCAACAGGTAGGTGGGAATAACTGTGTGAGACCCACTATGGAGTACTCCATTAACCCAATTTTCTGGGTTAGTGGAGTACAAACAGGCTGTATTTACAGGACAAACTGCACCATCAATTAACTATGCGGGATGGGTGTGCACAATATGCTTGGCCGACTGGTAAATCGAGGCTATGTGATATTTGAAGAAAGTAGAACTTCCCCCAGAGGAAATTAATGAGATTAATTATAGGGTTTATCCCAAGCATATTTCAAAAATAAGTTTCATAAAGTTCAATGGATAAAATCACAAAGGTGTAATTGAGCCCAGTGTAATTTTCCCCATAAAATGGTGTTTTTCTTCTGCCTCCACATATATGAAAGTTCTCCTAAAGTCAGATTGTGTATATAAAAGAAAAAATAAAGTTTAAGAAACAGCCACAGCATTTAAATCCAAGGATCATCTTGTTCTCATCCTTTTATCCTTTTATTTTTTTTTTGAGTCAATTTTGACTCTTCTGGCTGCCTGGACAAAAATCCTTGCAATTTTCTTGGCAAGATTTTTGGGAACTGTTTGCCCTTGCCTGCTTCCTATAGCTGAGTCAGAATGACTGGTCAAGGTTACCCAGCTGACTTTAGGTGGGACTAGAACTCAGGATTTCCTGGTTTCTTGCCTGGCACCTTAGCCACTACACCAAACTGGATTTCCATCCTCCTTTTAAGCAATGCCTATATTCTCCCTTTGTCCAACTTTAGACATTTGATCTTTCCCATTTGATCTGTCTGAAACTGGAGTGTTCAGAGATAGAACTTATCCAGAAGGCCTCACTTCCTCTGGATTTAAAGAATAGTGCAAGCTCAAATGCTTTTTGATCCAGTCAGGTCACCCTTTCTTGATCTGTAACTATTATGTTATTTTCTCTTGGCCCCAACTGGTTTGAGCCCAGCCAGACTTAACTAACCTTCACCCTCAGTCAATCAGGCCTGAAGAGCTGAAATGCCCTGTGCCCTACTGCTCTTGGCAGGTCTCCACTAACTCATGTGCTCTTTCCCCAGAAGGTTCTCCGTGCAGCGCTGTGCCCGCTGCCACCTGGGCATCTCTGCTTCGGAGATGGTGATGCGGGCCCGGGACTCGGTCTATCACCTCAGCTGCTTCACCTGCACCACATGCAACAAGACGTTGACGACAGGTGACCATTTTGGCATGAAGGACAACGTGGTCTATTGCCGGGCACACTTTGAGAGCCTGCTCCAGGGCACCGACCCAGCCTCCTACCCACCGGCGTCACTCAGCTACACTGAGCTGGCAGCCAAGGGTGGTGGCCTGGCCCTGCCTTACTTCAATGGCACCGGTACAGTCCAGAAAGGGCGGCCTAGGAAAAGGAAGAGCCCAGCTCTGGGCGTTGATCTGGTCAGCTACAGTTCAGGTGGGTTGTAGAATAATCCTCTTTGGGAGAACCTCAGGGATCTTAACCATATACAGTATTTGGAGTCATGCTTGCTTTTTTTCCTGAAGGATGCTGGACACCATTTTTCCCCCCTTGCAACCCAGTTTGTGAACTGCAGAGCAGGATATTTTTTAGGTCATTTCAGAGCCCTCCCTCAAATAATCTTTTTATCTTAACCTTTAATAAATATCTTGGCAGACATTACTGTGGGCAAGAGACTATTGGATTAAAGGAAGAAAATGAACAAAATCGGCCTTTAAGCCAGAAATGAAATATGCTTTTTGAAGAATAGGAACAAACATTGCACAGAACATTCCCAAGGTTAAGGGAAACATAGGTTATGTACACACACACACACAAAGAGAGATAGAGAGAGAGATGTGGTTAATTTAACCCTGATTTTCCTCAATCAATTTCATTGGTTAGGAACACGTGGAAATAAAACTGAGTACAGGGCTGGTCTCATACTGCTCATTAGATCAAAATGTGGTTGATTTATTTTGCCAATCCAGTTTCTGCAATTTAGAGGATTATGTGAATCCATTCATTATGTTTAGTATTGCAGTCTGCCACTGAATTCAAACTATATTTTAGATAAATATTGCCTGTACCCACTACTTGTCTCAAAAGAGTTCTTTAAAAAATTTGGAAATGCAAATGTATCTTTTCCTTGTTTTCCTTAGCACCACCTTGCCTTGCACATCGAGTTTGGTCTAGTTTACAATAAGCATATTTCCAGGCAAGTAGAAGGAAGGCAGAAAATATGCTGTTGGTATTTAATTTTAAATATACAAAGTACACCACTTTATGTCTGTAAAGTGAAAAGTTAAAACAAATTTGCAAAGTAGGAGAGTCTGATCTGCCTTCTCTAACAATGACAAGTTGCTGAAAAATAAGGAGTTTCTTTAGACTTTAGTGTTTGGGTTGGCATGGTGTTGGATCTGGAGACTTTTTAGATCAGAAATTTTTTGCTTAAAATGCAAATCTTAACTATGGCTAATTTAAATCCAATAGTTCAATAGAGCCTCCTTTCTTACAGAAAAATAAAATAAAGCTACATTTTTGTCTATTTGCTAGAAAGTTCTGTTCAACCAAGTCAGCATATCTGTTTCTGAGAGGATATAATTTTTTAAAAAGTTTTCTGGGGATGTTTAAGTTTCTGCTATTGATCTTCTCTATACTTGATGTTTTGGAATTATACAATCAATTATCATAATTAATAAACAATTGGATTTATTACCTTAGTACAATTTGAAAACCTTAGTAGCACAATGCTACTAAGGATGGAATAAACCCTTTTTCCATTTATGGTTCATCCTTAGAACGAACGATCGCGCTACAAAAAAGCTGAAATGCTAATGGTGGAGCCCCCCCCCCATATTTAAGCAGAGTTGAAACCTATTTATTCAAGTCAGAAAGCAATCTGGTTCTTAAGTACTCTGCAGTTAGCCCCAATGGATTTCTTGGCGCTCCTGTTCAAGAAAATGTGAGCAGGCTGTTGCTTTCCCCGCTGTTGCTCGAAAGCCCTTTCCGAGAACCGGCGTCCCTGGTTCCGAGAGGTCCCGAAGATTGCGGAGAACCGAAGGGACTCCGCGGGACCTCCCCTTCGTGAAGCGTCGAAGATCGAAGCGGGCTGCCTATTCAGTTCTCTGACGTAACCCATGTGCAACTCGGCCTGCTCCAGAAGGATAGAGTGGTCGCCTCTATGCTCCGTACGAATTTGAACTTCTGAAAAGGCGGGAAGGGAGCCTGGGCCGAGGAAGACAGAATTGGTTAGTTTGGATCGCGCCTTCGTGCAGGAAATAGTCTGAAGCCAGGTTCCTTTTCGAAAATGGGGAAGTCCGAGGCTTTGGCTACTTCCTCCTCTGATACATCCCTCTAGTCCCGGGTAGCAGGTCCTATGGATAAAACAAGCTAACTGGAGTCGGTGCGAGAAGGCTCGGCGGCCGCCTTCCCAGCTGCAACACGCGAGGATCTAAGGGGCTGGGTTTCCTGGGGCTGCGTAGACCCGCTCTTAGCCCCTTTAGAGTTGGAGGTCCCGCAGCAGCCCAGAAAAATGGGTTAATCCCGTAACCAATTGAAGGCTTTGTCTAAAGAACTCCCCCCTCTGTGCTGCGGGACAGAGGGCTCTCAGGCGGGGGAGGGGGCAGAAGGAAGCCGAGCTGTTTTTAATTGTTCGCTGTTAATTGGAGCTGGCACCGGCACCTCTGGCAGCGGAGCCGCTCGGAGGCCAGGCGAACGGCCAGGGAACGCTGGGGCGCCTCTTCCCGCCGAGGCAGGCTGGGCTGCATCCACCGGGGAGGGGTCGCCGCGGGGCGTGTCGTCCCTGGCGGCGGGGGAGGGAAGCTTGCGCCTGGGGCTAGTCTTGCTTTGAAGCAGGCAACCCCCCCTCCACTTTCTTCTCCATTAGGAATGCGAATGGGGGAGGGGGCTGCAAGTTTGAGCACCCTTCTCTAAGAGGGGGCTAAGACGGCGGTGGCGGTTTGCTCTCGAGGAAAGCGGCCTTTCCTTGCCCCATTGCCCCGGCCTTATTTCAGACCGAAAGGGAGGGGTTGGAAGTCACCCAGCTGCTTCTGAACAGCCCCCTTGTCCCAGGTTTACCACAAAGTAAGTCACCTAACTCTTACCTTCGCAAAGCGGCCTTTCCCGGTGCAATTGGAATGATTGCATTGTTTTCTGCCTAAAAAAAAAAAAAAGTTTATAAAAGAAAATTCGGGAGATATTTCTGAATATGTTCATTTCACTGGGCTTCAGGCTTGGGTTGCTTAAATTTCAGCGCACAGCTATTTTAATTGTATTTAACGACGGGCTTGGTACCTTCGATTTTCTTGCGGTTCTTTCATTTCTGCCTCGGAGCGACTCAGTTTTAGGAACCAAATACTCCTCTCGAGAGAAGGCGTTACTACTACCCTTTCCGAGAAGAGGAAAGCAAAAGTGAATGCAAGATAATTTGAAAACAGCGCGGGAACTCCCCAGACTGGTGAAAAAGCGACTTTCTCCGAATTACCTCATAAATCGGCTCCGATTTATTTCTGGGGTGGGAGATTGTGCAGGAAGATTTCCAGGTCGATCGCTCCTAGAATTTGTTCAAGAAGAGCAGTTCGATAGCGGCATGTGTGGCATCTGACTGGAATAGTTCATTCGTTTATAATCGTACTGAAAAATAAAAACCAAACCAAACCGGCTACTTTTCCCAGCTAGAAAGTTTTAATCAAGACGACTAAACGAATGCTTTATTGCTGAGAGGAAAATAATGTGGCAATAAATAATGGACAAATAACGAAATATTTCCATGCAGATGAATGTATTTTTTATAAGATGGTGCTAAATACATTTTAGAGAATTAAATGCTAATTATATAATGATTTCTCCCCCAGTTTAACATAGCTTGAAGTTAATGCGTTTAGAGCCATTTTATCTAATGGTAAAGACACCAAGCTAGAAACCGGGAGACCCTGATTCTAGTCCCACTTTAGCCATAAAAGCCAGCTGGGAGACCTTGGGCCAGTCACTATCTCTCAGCCCAAACCATCTCAAAGGGTTGTGGGGAAAATAGGAGAAGGAGGAAGGTGTGTTGGATATGTTCACTGCCTTGAGTTATTGATAAAAATAATAAAAGGTGGGATATAAATACATACAGGGTTCCATTATTCAATTCCTATGGTTTTCAACGGGAGAGTTAAATACCTCTTTAAATTTTTCCTAGTTTCCTAAAACATGATGCAAATAATTTTGAGGCTGGCTGGGTTGTGCCCCAAACTAGCTTGGCCCATTTCATTATTTGAGGGTGTAGAAGTAGGCAGATTTTACAATCATCACAAAGAAAGATCAGGCCAATCAAATTGTCTACACATGGCTATTGTCTATTAAGTTTCTGATCAAAGTTACTAGGATTTGGACCTTAGCTGTGATCCAAGAAAGATATAGTGGTATCCAAAGATATAGTGTTATTTTCCTGCTTTATTATTGGAATACTAAATGTTAAGGAAAATAAATGTTTTAATTCCTATTCATCCAATGGTAGTGTAATGCTACACATTTACTGGAAGGATTAAAAAATTAATAGCTAAGGGACTACCATATCTATCTATCTATCTATCTATCTATCTATCTATCTATCTATCTATCTATCTATCTATCTATCTACTTATATCTGCTTATGTAATTTGCTTTTCCAAGATTTGCCATGATTTGATATTGAAGGAAGACTACATCTCTTTATTTCCCCTCATCCCATTATACATGAAACATTTTTTGTAATCATTCTGATAAGTAACAACTTTAAGATGGAATCCTATTGATGCTTGAATAAAGTAAGGCTTATTTCTGGGCTACAGATCAGACATACATACTGTAGTTCCCTTCTCATGTGGTGGTAATGACATGTTTCAGAGAACTGTGAGTTATTCCTTTCCACAAACCAAATTAGACCGAAAAGAATTTCCAGATGGAAAAAGAATTGCTATATCTTAGATTGGGAGGCATACCTGAATATAAAGCATGTGATACCTTGTATGTATCATCATGTTTACATACATATTTCCCAGTAACTGCATCCACATTTACCTTGACTAGGATATAGCTCTGATTTGAAGCTGGCTTTTATTTGAATTTTCTTTTGCATTTATAATGTAGACAGTATGGGAAGTTGGGTGGAAAAAAGCTTAGCAAATCACTTCCATAACCAAGAAAACTATATGGTTAAGTCCATAAAATAACCAAGAATTAAGCTTGACTCAAGGGACAAATGACCATTACTCTGTATGGTAAACAAATTAAAAATTAGTTTTAATTTGTTATAAAGCAGATTAAATCTAAAATTCATATACAAATATAACTTTTCAGGCTAGGCAATCTGATTTTACTCTGAAAAAAACTTGTCAGAATTTCTGGAGAATTTAGTCCTTCTCATGACCCAAATAGAACCTAATTCTTTTTGTCTACAATTACATACTCCCCTCCCAATTCCAAATCTCTAG